CCTCCTATTTGTAAATTAGAAAGAAAAAGCACAACTCAAACTGGTTTAGGACTGAATGGTTCACACAGTGCTTAAGAAGCATTTTAGACAAAAGCAAGCTTTCTGCCAAACATTTGAGGGGGAAGAGAAAATTTCTGCTTTGCTGTCTGAATGCAGTTATAAACCAGGATGACAAAATAGCCTGGCATTGCTGCCCACAGTGAAATAAGCTGTGCATCTCGTTCTTCACAAGCATGGCTCAATTTGTCTTCATCCTGCCCAGTTTAGCTTTTACAGCTTTACCCTGAAGACAAATTCCTGTCTCCACAACCCCTGGAATTCAAGGTGGCAGAGTTGATGAGGGGAGACAGGCAACTTCTAGGCAGGGAGTGCTTTTTGCACAATTTTCTATTCAGCATAATCATGGATTAGCTAGACTAAATACAAGCATCACTGCTGTGCGGAACAGATACGTATCTAAAGCCGAAGTCTGACTAGTGAAGCAGAATTGACTGAGCTTCTTTAAGCGTCTTTCCTCCCCTCCTCAATCATCTCGCTTCCATTGAAGCATAACAGGTCATTGCTAGTTTAACATCTAATGACTGAGGAGTTTTTTTCACGCAACTGCTGCTAAGCACTGTGCTGAAGCAAGACAGACACATCTGATCTCACTCATACAGGAGAAAAGAGCAGAGGGACTACACCAAGATTTTCTGTAAGGGGTGGGGGGGGGAAGCACAATGTGCTTTATGTCAGTTTTGTAACAGATTATATACCAAGCTTGTTGGCAGACACAGGTTCTGATTGCTCCAGCTGAGGGTATTTAAAGATTTTGTTTCTTTTGCAAGGCACACAGAGGTTTGTAAGAGCACCCCCTTCCCCATCCCAGAGTATCTGCAATTCAAAAAGGTGAGGAAAATACATTAAAAGGCAGAAAGCAAAGAGGATAGAGAATACATCAGCTGAGCAGATTAGAAGACTCAATAAAGACTCCTATTGTTACCAAGAGAAATACTCTACAGACCACAGGCTGAAAACCACCATCTTAAACTAAGCAATCCATGAAAAACAGCAGAGAGCAGCAAGATTAAATTCATCTATGCCCCCCTATCTCCACTGGAAGATTTATAAAGGTCTGCAGATCAAAAGAGCGTGAGAACTGCTGCTATATGAACCCAAAAGTCTTAATATTTTTGTTACTGTGTCCTTTGTTACCTGATTAGCTGAATCGTCTTTGCATCGTCTTGCAGTTTTCATTACTAGCCATTAACCCCGGGATCTTTGGACTGTGGCAAGCACACGGCCCCAGGCGCCCAGTCTCCAAGTCCTGCTGCAGCGCATCTTGAAGAAATAACCTGATCGTGCCAAGGGGCCAAGTGTTGCCCCCCTCCCGAGCAGAAGGTCAGCTGAGTAGTCACAGATCATAGCTTTCAGAGACATCTGTATCACAACAGGGACCGAACTGGTATTGAACTTCAAACTAAGCAGAAAAGTAATCCCCTAAGCTGCAACTTTCCTAAATGCGGGCAGCTAGAAACTGCCAACCGGTAACGACAGTTGGCAGCTCCAGTCTGAACTGAGGTTTTTTTCCATTTAACTCTCCCATTCCCCCCAGTTCAGCCTGGGCAGCGGCACACAAACATCCCCACTGTTGTAAGACACAGCATTTTGCACAAGACCTTGGAACTCCCTCATGAACCATCTCTTCTTAATATTAATGTTGCTAGTGGGGAATATAGAATCATAGAATCATAGAATCATTAAGGTTGGAAAAGCCCTCTAAAGATCATCAAGTCCAACCGTTAACCCAACACCACCATGCCCACTAAACCATGTCCCTAAGCGCCACATCTACACGTCTTTTAAATACTTCCAGGGATGGCGACTCTACCACTTCCCTGGGCAGCCTGTTCCAAGGCCTGACCACTCTTTCAGTAAAGAAGTTTTTCCTAATGTCCAGTCTAAACCTCCCTTGGCGCAACTTGAGGCCATTTCCTCTCGTCCTATCACTGGTTACTTGGGAGAAGAGACCGACCCCCACCTCGCTACAACCTCCTTTCAGGTAGTTGTAGAGCGCGATGAGGTCTCCCCTCAGCCTCCTCTTCTCCAGGCTAAACAACCCCAGTTCCCTCAGACGCTCCTCATCAGACTTGTTCTCTAGACCCTTCACCAGCTTCGTTGCCCTTCTCTGGACACGCTCCAGCACCTATCTTACACTGAGGCAATCCTCAACTGCATGCTTATGGTCTTCTCCACCTGCCCCCACTCCATCAAATTGGCACCTTTTGGGCAGGGATTTTCTGTTCAAGTCTCCCACTTGTGGGAGTGGGAAGCTTGCTTCGGGGCAAGCTACCAGAGCCTTGCCCCTGTCAGTCAGTCCCCAAGGAGACACTACAACCTCAGGGCGAGGTTTCAGCAAAACAATTTGGTCATGTAGTTTTAGCAGCAGAAAGATACCTACCACTGCTGGAAAATCCCCTGCTTTCTCATCCCTTTCAGGCCAGCTCTGCAAATCTTTCCAGAGTAAGGTTTCAAGTTCAATGTGTTGTTTACTGGAAACCTAGACATGAATAAACAACCCATTTTGTGACAAAACTTCACACAAAATGTGGAGACTTATTTTAAAATAAGCCTGGCAACCTCTCAGTTTCTTTTATAAAGAATACTATGCTGTGCCAATCTCCTTTAAGAACACAGTCTCGAGTACAGCACGTAGGCATGTGCTGCAAAGCAGCAGAATGGCATTCAGGAAATCCGCTGGTGATTGAGCAAGGAAGCATGACAAATCAAGACAAAAAGCGTCTCCCACAGCAGCTGCGCAATAGGTTTGTGTTTCCTAGTTCACTTCAAGTCCCCTTTTTTTCACAGATGTGCCAAATGAATTATCACTACCCAACTATACGAATAGAGTAATTTGACAAACCTATATAATCAAGAAAAGGTACCAATTCCACAGGCATTTGCCTGATCCTATCCTGTGCCTAACAGGGTCTTCAGGACTTCAGTTTTGATGGTGAAAACTGAACTTTTATACACATACCTACTTGTATGCGGCCACACAAGGTATCTAATGCTAATAAATACACGCTTTACATAGATAGACATATATGAAAAATATCCCTTGTGACAGATAACTGTAAGCCAAGCACTCATATTAAGATACAGAACAAAGTTTATTGATCTCCTCAAATTCTTTGTAGTTTTGCTGCTAAACGAACACAACACATTGGCATATTGCCTTTAATCTTTATTTCAATCATAAGTCCAACTTGAAAGAATTGGTAACACATTTAATGGCATCTTCAATAAATAAAATGACAAAAAAAATCTAGTCTTTGCACAGACACATTACAATCCACTCCAAATTCAATATTGCCAAAACATTGGTTTTTTCTAAAAACTTGCTCCAAAGGTTTTTTTTTCTTCTTTGTTTCAGCACTTAAATACAGAGAAAAGTATATGATGAGAAAAAACAGATACTCTATTCTGAACAGAACTTGTAAAAACCAGTAACTTAGAAACAAAAGATAATTAAATCTCTCTAACTATATTAAAGAATCCTGTTTGAAGTCTTTTTGGAAAAACCCTGATTCTAACCTTCATATCAAAACACGCAGTTTCGCTGGATCCTATCCTATGTCAGCATACTTATACAATAAGAATTAAATTCCATGATTTTTTGTTTTTTTAAGGGGAAGTTCATGAAGCGAAAGCATTAGCCTCCCACACTCACAGAAGTAATCATGGTCCGTATATTCTGCAGTAATAAACGGCTATTTTTGCTCAGTCCGTTGTTTGAACTCCTACCATACTGGAAAAGACACTGTAGTTTACCCTTTGTTTCTATTGTACCCAACTCTTCCCCGGTCCGGCAGCCTCAAGAACCTCCGTGAGATGAGAATTCATGCACATACAAATCTGCCTGCACAGATCAGATTGCAGGATGAGGACCAACACGTCTGATTCTAATTAGAAGCTAGGCTTAATTTAAAGCTTTTCCTAAATAGAGAAAGTAGAGAAAGTAATCAATAAAGAAAAGCTGAACCCCAAGATTTCCAAATTGCAATTCCCTGTAATTTGCAACATCTATTAGCATATCACAAACCAATTACAGTGTCAGTTAATGTAGGAAGAACCACTCTATCACTAAAATTAATTAACACACTCATCTTCAAGCCTTCTGGAGCCTTCTTCCGTGAAAGCTTAGGGCATGCAAGGAATGCATGGCTGGGCCCCCACTGACCTATGCATACTATATAGGGGAGAGAAAAAGTTACTTTAAACAAAAGGCAGAATTACACCACATCTGTACAAACATTTAAACCAGTTTGTTTCAGCTAGTTATCTGCTTATCCCAACTATTGCTGCTGACTGTACTCGGCTAATTCAAGAGAACGTGATGAGGCAGGACCCAATTTGTTTAAGTGAATGGAACTTTTTTCTGCAGGTATCTTCCCCTCAGCTGACTACATCATAACAAAAGTGCAATAATTTACAATCTTTTCAAATAAACAGCTATTAAAATTATACAATTTTAGGGAAACAAATTCACTAGTTTAACCATAAAAATATTTCCCCAGGTAACAAACCTTAAAGCATTCAGTAACACAGTATTTCAATAATAATAATAATAATAATTATTATAATACAGAAAATCCCTTCCACTTGTTACAAAAGACAGAACTGTTAGAAGATTTTGTTTATTGTACACTATTTAAGAGTTTTGCCATCTTGTGAAGACCATAACTATAATTAGGAATATAACTACCATTTAAAATAAATGAGTATGGAAATACTGACCTGACTTTGAAATTATATTCTTAACCTTTTACAAATGAAGACAAAGTAAAGCCCAGGGCCATGTCATCCAGGTACTCAAGAACTTACAAGACAGTTTACATGCAGAGTCATAAGAAAGCACCACTTTCCATAAAGTACTTTGTATGTCTATTGCTGAACAGCATATTAAATAGTTTTGTGAGAACTGCTAAAACAGATTCTCACATTAACTGTAGCTTGACTTACAGAATTCAGGTTTGGTGATAACAGGGAACATCATGACAAAATTATACTCTGAAAAAATATCTGCTAAATTTGGTCCAAGCATCCGAAAAACAAACAAGGACACACAGGTCCCTCATTGCTTAATGCTGCTGTTTAGTTGATCCTTAAAAAAAAAAACAAAAAACAAAAAAAACCACGTATGGCAATAAGGAATAAGAAGGGCTGCCCATGATAGGCACAGAACTGTGACAGAATAGTCGCTTCAGAGAGATGTTTTAACTGTGGTTTTGCCATGAGTAACTGAACTTGTACTAATGGAGAACCCTGAAATTTGTATACTATAGCCACAAGAAATTATTTCCTATTTAAAAAACAGATCCATTGTAATTAACTGCTTTTCCAATCATCATTAGATATGTGAAAAACAATAAAAAAATCTTTTAAAACAATTACGAAGAGTGGACTGCAGTAGCAGCTATTCAAGCAAGATTCACGCACAAGTTTAAATGAATTCTCAAGCTGGGAATTAGCCTTCTTTGTCGAAAATTTGTACAACTTTTTCAAAAACCTAAAAAGAGAGAGAAGAATATGAAGTGTTGGTCAAACAGTTAACTTCAAGTTAAACCAGCACACACAATAATGGACAGTATTTTAAAAAATACATAGGTTTTTCTTAGAACATTCACAGTCATTCTTTAATGGCAAAATTGACATCAGTTCTGGGAAACTGAGACAGAAAAGCAATACTACTTCAGAAAAGCAAAAGCTCATGAAAGTGAAAAAGACAAGACACTTTTAAACACAGAAACACTGAAAATGTGTTTAGTCCAGCTCATATTCAAGCAGAATTAATTGATTTCTTAAAGTTATTCTCATCTTAATCAGTTCTTCAAGAGTCAAAATGAGAGTTCCACAAGCTCCCTCAGTAATACACATCAGTACTTAATTAGCACACTAACCACACATACACACATCTCAGAAGAATGCCAAAAATATGTACCCTGCCACTGTCATCACCATGGTTTTTTGGCTTATATACTTACTTCATCAACAGATTTAGAGGCATCCACTTTTCTGACTTTTCCCATTCTCTCATATAAATCTATTATAGGCTTAGTAGACTGCAGATATGTATGAATTCTAGGAGAAAGCACAGGGGAAAAAAGCATTACATAGTAAAATATAAACAGAAGGGAACTGAAAAGTTTTGAAGATAGTACCTCTTTTCCAGACTCTCCCGATTATCATCACTCCTACCACTGCTCTTGCCTCTTTCAAGACAGCGCCCAATACATATCTACAAAAAAACATCAAAAGGATGATTGCACCAAGAACACAAGGTGGAACACAAGCAGGAACAAAACAAAAATCCTGAAAATCTAAATAGGCCTGACACACAAAATACTGTCCAGATCTGGTGGATGTAACCAGAATTCACCTGGAAGGTTAGATTCTTCCAGAGAAAAAGGATGATAGCTTTACATTTCATCTGTTCATTAAAATAGGGGCTCTTAAAATGGGATTAGGGTCAGTGGAAGTAAAAGCAACATCAAGCTCTGTGCTTCGACTGGGTCTCCAACTTGAGACATTTAAAGAAGAGAATTACCTGATTTTCAAGGATGTGTTCAGACTTTCTGAAAAGCAGCATGTCAAATCACACTACTAAAATACGCCTGCACTGAAAGAAAGTCACCGTATGCTCTCCCAAGAATTTTGTAAAGCTACATACTAAGTTATTGTAAGTTAAAATGTTCTTATTTGACACTGCTGTAACGAAGACTTAAAAATCAAAATCTAAGTAAAAACTGAAGAACTAACCACAGTTAAAAGCTGCCCAATGAACTAAGTTTTGAAACAAAGTTAAGTAAGCAACGCTGACACATGTACACTTCATGAATACATTTATCCTACTCATGCAAGAGGACAATGGTTAAAAATTATTTTTTCCTACAAAGTACATCCATAGTAAAAAAAAAATCCAGAAGATCATGTAGGCATTGTTGTCTATTTTTAGATCTAGTGAAAAAATTAAAACCCCCAAATTAACACCCCACCAAGTGAAAAAATTCATTTAATCTTATTTAAGTTTTTAAATAGAAAAAAATAACCCCTCACTTGTTCTTTGAGATTAAAAAATAGTTGCAACTAAGTAAAATTGGGGAAAAGGGTAAATGGAAGAAAGTCAGCTTAAGGTGCTGGGATTCTCCTATCAGTTTTTATGCTTCAAGGGCACTGACATATTAAAAAGACAGCGTACCATGGCACTTGTTAAATGAATATAATATATCACTGTCAAAATGCCCTTGTAATCTAATGACTTGCTGAATAAAATGTTGATTACTAGCTATCCTATAGCACAGCTCATAACTATGAAAATAAAGACTGCTGCTGCCAGCACTCTAGAATTAAAGCAGACATTGCTATCAAGTTCATTTTGGACTAAACAACAGTTACTAAGAGTAAACAGAGTAATGTTTTCTGAAAATTAACCAAATAATTTTCTATAATGTATTTAAAGTTTTCACAAATTTTCCTTAAGAATGCAATTGCCTGAAGTACTTTTTCAATATAATTTATTCACACATGATTATACCAAGTGCAATTAGCTGCCTGCTACTTCAAAAACATGCAGTTTTTCATCTGCAAGTTGCCAAAAAATCCTTGAAACTCACAGACCAAGTTTTCCTTCTACTCTTACACTAGTCCATTCACTACCTGACAGAGTTTTGTTGTTTTTCGTGAATAATTCTTACAATATAGCAAGAAAGAAAGTTACAGAATAACACACTTCATTACCTCATTGTCACAATCAAAAAAGAGAACAAAAGAAACATCTGCCTTTCCATCCATAGTCTTATTCCAGCCCTGAAGATTATCTTCATTCCTGGGAAATCCATCAATCAAGAACTTGTTCTTCTGGGAATTGGCAGCCATTGTTTGATCCATAGCCTGATAAAAGAGAATTCAATTCATGATCTCCTGCACATACAACCATTTATCTACTTATTAAATTACCGCCATAATGTTGACATGGTAAGTTGAGAAGCATTTATTTTAGGATTATTGCAGATTTACAAAATGTATTTTTGTTTCACCTTCAGTGCATGCTAATTAATTCACTGATGCACCAATATAGCCTTCTTTCAAACTGAATTCACTATTTCATAAAGCTCAAAATCTCATAACACACTACCCCAGCGTTAAAGTTAATTTTCTACAAGATACTGGAAAGTGCCAATACACAGTAAGATGCCAAAACATCCCTGATCTAGAGTTAATTCAGATAAACTCCAGAAATATTTACTGCCATGGGCAACAGAAGCCTTTTCTGTCTTAAAGGAGATACTCTGGTTGTCTTCCTGGACCTCTAATAAGGACAAAGGCTGGAGCTTTTCCTTCTGCAGGAACATTACCAGGTGCTCTTCTCCCCCACCTGGCTATCTATTTTGATAAAACTTACAGAAACTTAATACCTTTAAGGCCTCTACCCTCCAGTCAAATATGACTGAGCTGACTAAGAGGTCCAAAAGCTAGTTAAGGGAAATAAGAAATACAGTGTTTCATTGATTTCCCTAGAGCTACTACAAAAATAAAATAAAATAAAAATAATCCATTCTCACAGATCCCCGGGTATCAGAGGCCATCACCTACTGCCCTCCAACCAGCCAGAAAGAAACATGAGTAATTGCTAAGAGGAGCCCAGTAGGCAATGTGCACGTACATGTCTGCCATTTCATACTACTCACACCAGAGGAAAGGCAATTCTTCCAGAATACATCCACTGCTCTGTTGCTTAGTCTGCAAGAATGAACCAGCAAGGAAATAGCCCTTTCCTTACCCTCTTCAGCAAGCTGATTGTTATTTCAACCGGTACAATTTCCCCCTCCTTAATGTAGTTCTCAATGAGTTCTCCATACTGTGAGCCTGGCCTTTTTCGTTCATCTCGAAGGAGGTCACCAGCAGAAAGGTGCGTGTAGCCATATTTCTGAAACGTGCAAAACAAACAGGCATAATTCCCTTGAATTAGTACACATGCAAAGTTAACATCAGTCAACAGTGTCAACCACATATATCTTCACATTACAACAGAAAAATACAGGGAATAGCATCTTGCTAGTGACAGATCTATTCCATCTTCAGTGTGTAAGCTGACAACACAGCATGCTCTGCACACACAGAAAGCACAGCAGGAGAGAGATTCTTGGGTAAAATGCTCAACAGGGCTTTGGTCAGGTATTCGTCTACTGTTTTCAAAGGTAATTTTTTCATGTTTGGAAACGAGACCGTCTCAATGCCCCCAAGGGGCTTCCTGCAGTGTTACACTGTGCAATGAGACGTTTAACAATCACCAAATTAGATACAAGCTATACCCCATCCTAACAGTTCAACTACTTAAAAATTGTAAGTGGTTATCAGTTACTGAGTCAAGTCTTGATTTACAAAGTGAAAAAGTTGAGATAGTACCTTTTTTTGCTATGTTATGCAATAGGTTTGTAATTTTATCTAATTCACTACTAAAAGAAAAGCACGAGGTGATTCCAGGTCCTTTGGAGCTGGAGGAATGTTTCAAGCACAGCATGAGTCAGAAATTCTTACATTCCCATTGTGGTTCTGGAACCAGCTTCCTGCTCTACCTTTGTCTAATCACTTATAACTCTGCATCTAACACTGCAGCTACACAAACAGTCCTACACATGCACTCCTCCAAACCCAGCCCTGCATGCCTGCCCCTGCTACCTCCTTCCCCGGGGATGAACATGACAAACTCGGAGAGCAGCCCTTGAGGGAGGCTAGTGCCTTCTCATAACGATGATGTGGCAGATGAAGGTAAACAGCCACACTGGTCCCACCCTATGTCACGCCAGGTACAGTAAACAGAAAGAGAGCAGAGAGAGATCACATCCAAATCTATCAACTTGATACCAGTATGCAGGAAAACAGCAAACACCATTACTCTTTTCTTTCACCTCAAACTACGTCTAAAAAAGGTAGCTAATGCAAAATACCAATGAAAAGTATTTATTACACTTGAATTTCTCAGGCATTTACCATCATAAATAGACACATAGTGCAAACATACAAATACACTCTTACCAAAAAGAATTGCATTGCTATAAAGGAAATTTCAGAGCACAAAACAATCATTTTCTCAGCTCATTTAAGACCACAAGAAAACTAAGTGTACTATGCTTCTTTGACCAAATATAGTCCATAAAAACAGGAAATAAAGGCACCTCCTTGGTGATTACCTAAGCTAGCTATACATCCAAAACAGAGTATACCTGTACATACTCATGCTAAAGTTTTTACACAAAACAAAAGCAGCAGCAAAAAACTTCGGGGTTATCAGCTTGGCTGCAGCAACATCCAAAGCAAATTTCAAAAAAGGTGTCTGAGCAGCATAATAATGTGACTACACACTTTTTAAGGCTGCGAACTTAGGATTTAAAAACTTGGCTATTGGACTAAGTACAACAAAAATATTACACAACCCACTAAGTGACTTTAAAAACATTTCAGTTGCTTTCCAATTTCACCCACAAAAGCGTGGAAAGTTAGTTCTGCCATAGTCATAATTTAAGAAGGGATATAATTACCTAAATCTCCAAAACTCTACACTGCTGGCAAAAAAAAAAAGAAGATTTTGCTCTAAATAACTGTGAAGAAAAAGCTCCACAGACATCCTCTATAAACTCACTGTACTCCTGCTTTAATGTGCACTGCATTTGGATATGCCTATTTAATTGCAAATCTAAATATTAACTATGAACTACAGAAGCCATAAACCAGAATAAATCTTTCCTTACAAGCTAGAAACCTTACTCTGCTGAAAAAAATTAACATGTAGTTCTTCTTGCTAAAGTTAAAGAATGATGATATTTTTAACATCAAGTTTCTACAAAAGAGAAAACAGGAGGAAAATATAATCCCTTCGGTTTTAGAGGATTACCAAACCATTTAATTTTCCTTGGCATTTCCCTTTTCATGCATGAAAACGAAATTGAGTCAGACAATTTTTGGAATTCTCTGTCTTTTACAACAGCAAAGTAAAATAGTTTTTAATGGCTGAACAGGAAAGTAAAAGATAGAAGTGTTTTAAAGTGCTGTTGTATAAATAGACTTGTTTGAGATAATAGTAAATTGTATTCTTGAGTAACCTTCAGAATGGATTAACCAGGCAATAAGAAAAACAAACCTCTCCTTCAGGGGCAAAACATCTATTTGTTAACTGTACTGACTCAAGAGCCAAAGAAAACATGTCGGTTTAAACAATGCAAACAAGCACAGAGAAAGGCTTGGCTGCTGCTCCATCCACAGAAGGCTTCAGAGATGCAGTGCTCACGCTACTCTTGCCAGTTTTAATCAATGCGTACAGGGCACAAAGTTTTCTTTCATCTTAAGTGAGACAAACCCTCAGCAAGCATCCCAAATTGGAGAAAATCGTCACATCCCCAAGAGCTTGCAAGAGAGACTGTGATGTAACTGCACAAAAACCGGGTCAACACGCTCTCGCATCTTGCCAAGGTTTGCATTGTGCCAGCATGACTTTCCAGCAGTGCCAAGTACATCTTGATGCAATCCCCAGAACGTGACTTGTTGCAACTACTGCCTAATTCTCCTCCTCCAAACTCAGAAAGGGAGAAGGACTGTGGCTGCCAAACAATGAAAAAGCAGTTTCTCCAGTTCTCGAAGGATGCATATATGCTAGATTCATAATGTGAGACTGAAAGGAAGACTTGAAATAGTAACCAGGTTAAAAAAAATTTCCAAATAGTTGGATGCCAAGCACCTAAAATCTGGACAGATTTTTAGATTACAGAGAAGAAAAAAGAAAATATAGAATTAACTATTCAAAAACTTATTTCAGAGATAATGTTTTCTACTACACTAGCGGACTGGTGTGCTGTTCTATAAGAAGAAAAAAAGATTAAATCAGTAAGTTGCTATTACACAAGTTCTCATTATTTTTAAAACTATTTTTATATTTGGAGAACCATAATTCAAACCTCTTACAAAAATTAACTGTGAATGAAAAAGACAAAAATCAGCTGTCTTCAGCACCACTGTAGACATCTTCCTCCTTTGCTTTCAAAAAAAAAAAAAAAAAAAAAAAATCAAATCAGTGATGTGGAAAACAAGCTCAAGTTTCCATCAATCCCATCATAAAGGTGTTACTCAGAACAGCACTTAGCAGTATTGTACAGAGCAGAGCAGAACATCGCTCGCTTGTTTGTCTCACAGGGGCCTGGTAAATCAGTCCCCAAGCAGCAGGGCAAACTGGGACGTGCGAGCTGTATGCTCCACATCTCCAAATTACAACCCGAGACTGCACCCTCCCTGGCATGCTCTTCTCTCCCCTGCCCTATAGCCACTTCTAGCTTTCCTCTGCCAGCCAGGGATTTGCAATTTCCACTCCGCAGACAGAACACGCTTTGTTTTCAGTAAATACCATAAAGAGGTGAATACAACCGAAAAATACATGAGTCATATTTGTGTCACACTTGAATAAGGAGGAGTCTGCCCTAGCAATCTTCTCGAGGCGGTAAGAAAGGATCAGCGGTGTGCAGCAGCTGCTGCTGGGACTCCTTACACAGCCAGCTTTCGAGGGGCACAAGGTTTATTTCTGATTCAGCCTTGTGTGGTCCAGCAGCACATCTCTCCACTAAACACACAGCTTGAGACTTCCTTAAGTGAGCAGAAGCCAAGAAAAAGCAAGAGAAACACAAATGACTACTTTGACCTTGACTCCTATCTTGGCTTATCATTGTTACTCTGAAAATGAAAGTCACAGGACTCAAGATCTAAACAAATAAAATACAAACTTTTATTGCCCTAGTTCTGACCTGTCATATCTTGGGCAACCTTAATAAACAACCTAAATTTGCTACATACACCATTCAAGAACGAGTTAAAATAAAAACAGAATCGTGTAAACCCTGCAGCCTTCATTTTTTTTTTTTTTTAACCTAAAAAGCTTTTGTCTGTCCTATTAGCAATTAGCACATGGAATTAAAACTTTGGGTATAAACTATAATGCAGTAATAGACCTTCTGTCTGCTTATTCCAATAAAAAAAATTGAAGACATTTTCTTAGTTTGAAATACGTTCTTGCCTCTGGGAGAGGAAAAACAAACAAAAAACCACATTACCAAAGCAAAACGCACAAAGGAGATCCCACTGACAGTGCCCCCAGGGAAGGGGGCGGCAAACAGAGCGCCCCAGTGCTTCAGGAATGCTGAGCTCAATAAAAGACACCCAGTAAATTTGGAAAAGTCCAAAATTAAATACCCAGTGTTCTGCAAAATGGAATTGTATAGGGATAAATCTTCAGGGGGTAGATTTAAACGATCATTCACCATGTTTTTAAAAAAGCTCCAAAGTTCAGAAATATAAACTTATATTCCAAAAAACAACTATGAGAACTTAAAGCTAAGTAGAATACTATTACTTGGCACTCTTGAAAGAGATTTCAGAAGTTGAGTTTAAAGCAAACATTTTTAAAAACGTGTTTATTTTACAGAAGTTAACGCTGTTTCTCAGCTGACTTCTAGAAGACAATTAACACACAACGGCAAACCTAAATCCACTGCTACTTTCAGAGGAATGTTTCTGATACAGTGAGTTGTTCTTTGCATTGTTTTCTTCACCCTAGCAAATTTCCTTATCATATATCCCAAAGCAACTTAACAGCTTTTTCCATTCGGATATTAACTTACGCTCTTATTAAAGGAGAAGGCTCAGCATCCCACCTTGTGGAATTAATTTTAGATTTAACCACAAACATACAGGATAGGGCTGTGGTGGAGGTGAATTAGATTTTAGGTACACAAAAAGGGATGTCTTGCATACCCCAAATCCCTACAGAATCACCTTGCCAAAACAAACAAACAAAAAACACAACTCAAATCTTGCTTGGAATAAAGACAAGTGATTTAGTTATTATTCTTCCCACCAACCAGAGAGCTTTGCATTTTAGGCAAATGTTGTAAGGATTTAAAATTTAAGTACATGAAAGCATATTTTGTGCAGATTTGAAGAACTCATTTTTTCCCCTGATTTTACCATAACCATTTTATAAGCAAAGTTCAGAAGTCAGCAATAAAACACATTCATTTTGTCCTACACACATATCTCACCGTCACGGAAGATACAAACACTGTAGCATGAAGGTTATTGCAAGAACCTGCATTCAAATGACATCACTCAACTACCTGCTGAAATATTCTGCCTCACACGACAGCTACGCAACAGTCCCAGATGATGGCAAGCTCCACCTAAACAAACTGTGGAAGGTTTCAGGAGTTAACCTGCAGAGCTGGAAGGCAGAGGAGAAGAACTTAAGAAGGAATTCTGCTTCATCCCTTCCTAAATAGGAGGAACTGGTCCAGAGCAGCAGTTCTGCTGAATTTGCATCTCAGTGACAATTCTGTGAGTTTGTGGAATGTACACGAGTCTTCCCTCCGTATCGGAGAAAACCAGCCTGGTTCAGCTGTCTCCTCCAACCTTATCTGCAAAGATAAAGAAACCTAATCGCTTACCTGCTGTTCCCTTTCGTACACTGTGTCAATACCCATTTCCGCTTGTTATTCTGTCTTCTTCCCTCAAATCATTTCTCCATTTGGTCCAAATTTGGCATGAATACATGCCTTCTCCAGAATGAGGGACTCCAGCACACACATAACGAGCAGTTATGATTTAGGCTAGTACTTAACAAATACATATTTCACCTACAACATGTGATAGCCATCTCCCTTTCCTGGGAATGTAAAGCATAGTCAGCAAAACAATTACAACACTTCTTTGAGAAATTGTTCCCAGGTAGTATGTAATACCCCCTTTACTCTACAAAACACAGCTGCCCTTGGTTTGTCAATAAAATCATTTAATGCTAAAATCATACAAGATCTCACCTCAGCAAAGTGAGACTACTTCTACATACGATGTGCTCTGTCCCAAATCTCTAGTATGAATAGCAACCGAGAGATATTTATAGCTTTTACTGACTTTTCGTTCAGCACAAACTTCAGATTTACAGCAAGATACCGGGTCAGATTCATTCCAAATGTAAACTAATATTATTCAGTCCATTTACAACAAGGATGAATGAGGTTTATTATTACTCTGCTACAGCCCCTTTTCTCTGTGGCAAGTTGCCAACAGGGTTTAAAATCTGAACAAAAATACACTTTTAACCTAAAGGCAGCATTGACTGCGTACAGGCTATTCAACCACCTGCACCAGGGCTCTCTGGGGGGCTGCCAGGGGCCAGGCCAAGGATGTGTGCTTAAAAAAGGTGCTGCTCCCCAGTACCTCTGCTGCGTTTCATACACACTTCCCTGTTCATGTCCCCTTTTTCTAAAGTTTTCCAGTCGGCTCGCATCAGTCCCACTCTCCCTTCAACTACCTCAGACCCTCTCCCCCTCCCTCTCCTCCTCGAAGTTTAGCCAGCGGCTCCTGTAGAGGTGTCCGAGCGAGCAGGAAGGCTGTCCACTGCAGTCAGTGGGTCCGAGAGCTTTCTACTGTCAGCTCACTGACTTCAATTAGCTTCTTTCCATGCAGTGAACAGGATTAGCAGAATTAAAGCAAATTTACATTTATTAGTATTTGGACTTCCCTTTCCAGGCTCAGAAAGAAAATAAATACAGTACAATCAAAGTTAACTTCCTTCCTTCATTTTTAGCTGCAAATACAATTTGAGTAGCAATGACTCATTTGAACTTCTCCTAATAAAGTGGTCTATATTCAATTATATTAGCCCATCAAGCCAAAGGCATTTATATTTCTAAACACAGGCCAGTGGCCACACAAGGTACTTCAGCCCTGAGGCTACATTAATCGTTTGGTGAAAGCCATTAACGACAGCGTACAAGATTCCCCTACAGTTTAAGCTCATTTGTTTGCTATGTGCCAGGGGCAGAATTTGACTTTACCAAAAAGGCTTTATGGGCACTATGAACCTTTCATCCCACAATTTAATTTAATGAATAAGCCGGTTTGAATGAGAGTCTGTAATTTGAGGTTAAAATCCTTCAGAACTAAAGTCATAACGGCATTTTTCAGTCTGGACCAAATTCGCATAACTTCATTATACAACACCAACGACTGGGATATAATGGCAGCATGGATAAACTGTAACAGCACTGCCAGGGCATCACCAGAATAGACGACACACAAAACATGTCAGTGCCAGGAGCTGTGGGGTTTTTTTTTTTCCACCAATAGTTTCAGAAACATGGGCATTGCTACAGTTCTTAGTCATTTCTTTCAGTGTTTGTATGGATAAACTTTGCTCCTACATGGCTTTCAATAAGAAAAATAGATACAACTGCTCAAAAAAAAAAAAAAAGAAAAAAAAAAGCTGTTTCAAATCCAACATAACACACATTTGGAAGCATTCAGCCTTAACTACTTCCGTAATTATCCACCTGAATACAATGCAATTATCCCTGGGTTTTTTTGTTTTTAAACAGACAGTACTACACCATGTAGCATTCACCGTTCTTTCTTAGATACTTGCTCTACCTCAAATGGCTGTAAAAATGTATTTGAAAAACTGAAAATGTGAAAAATATAGCAGAAAGTCTTCTCAACCTATACTCTCTGTTTTAGGCTCTTTGAAAAGAGAGAACAAGATTAACTTCCTATGGGGTCAGGACATCCTTTGACCTCTGTCACATTCTGTCATAGAACAAAATTTTAGTTCTATTTTTAACATTTTACATTCACGACTTACAGAGATGGCACCGGGTCAGCAAGCCAACACCCTGCAACATCTACTGTACCAGCTCGTACGTTTATGGCTTCAGAAGACATGGACCTTGATCCCACACATTTGAAGTCAGTGTACTCCCAACCACTGTAAACCACCTCGCCCTCACTCCCAGGCCACCAAACCGGCAGCCCGGGGCGTGCAGGTGGCAGCCCCGCGATCACCTACGTGGCCACGCAGACGTGTACAGAGCCACCCCCGCGGGCCGGGCTGCAAGGCCGGCCTGACAACGCACCACCGCCCAGGCAGCCAGGACCTGCTCC